CTTACTCTATATCATGTGTACATCTCACAATTTATATATCATTAGTAATATAGTTGGGCAAATGGGGGAGGGCCAGTGCAAAAATCAGATTTCTGCTGGAATTCATCAAGCTAACCGAATCACTTGGTGAGAAAGTCCTAGTTTTCAGCCAGTACATTGATCCTCTAGATTTTGTTTTAGAACAGCTTAACTTGGTGTTCAAATGGAATGAGGGAAAGCAAGTGTTATGCATGCATGGGAAACTAGATTTGAAACAGCGGCACTCTTTGACAAACATCTTCAACGATCCCAACGGTGAAGCAAAGGTGCTGCTAGCATCCACAAAGGCCTGTTCAGAAGGAATACACACCTCGTCGGTGGATCAAGAGTAATCTTGCTTGATGTTGTTTGGAATCCATCCGTTGAAAGGCAAGCTATAAGCAGGGCATATATACTTGGCCAGAAGAAAGAGGTTTACACTTATCATTTGATGATATCAGGCTCACTGGAATCTGATAAATATTGTACACAGGCAGAAAAGGATAGTGTATCAGAATTAGTCTTTTCTTCAAGCAACAAGGAAAATGGTGTCTCGAAAAAATCTGTCGTTTCAAGTGATAAAATCCTCAATGAGATGGCTTCTCATGCAAGACTCAAAGGCATGATTGAAAGCATCATATACCAGCCAAAAGAATCATCTTTAATTAAAAGCTTCAGTTTGTAGAGACTTTTGGGATGGTTTTTGCTTGATTCAGGTCTACTTTTGTGTCGATGGAATGACTGTAGTTCTGTTTCAAGAATAATATCAATGCTTTTATTCAGTAAATAGAGAGATCTCTCTTTCAGCCAGAATTGAAATTCAAACACTCAGTAAAATGATGCATGAGATGCCAAATGGAGTATTACATAAGGGAAATAAAAATGCTCAATATAATGCTGCAGGAGATGTCAAAGGGGATTCAAGGCTTGGTGGCGGGCAAGGTATTTGCAATGTCAATGACAAATCGGTATCTAACATCACCCTTTGCCAGTCGCTCCATAGCGGTGTTCACATAATCCATGGTGATAAGCTCAATATCTGCTGTAATGCTGTGTTTTGCTGCAAAATCTATCATCTCTTGCGTCTCCTTTATACCTCCTCCACCACTTCCAGCCACTACTTTCCTTCCTATTTTTCCAGGTTACTCATTAGTTCTCACCTTCCGTATAAATTGCTAACAGAGCAAGTAGATAGATAAAATGATAAATATAGCTGGTTCTTTAGTACTATGTAAAAACTTACCGAGGAGCAGAGGTAAGACAGGTAGCTCGAGTGGCTTTGAAGGTGCACCCACAATAACAAGTTTTCCATTAGTCTTCAATAGATCAATCAGTGGTGAAATGGGATGAACTGCAGAGACTGTGTCTATGACTCCATCCAAAGTTCCCATGGCAGCCTGCGTGAATTCAATACATAAACATTGTCATTACGCATTAACCAGGTGTAGTCCTACTTGTTGTCTTTCCTTCTAATTTCTTGTTTAAGAATTTGAACATTTTAATGATTCAGTGGTTTGTATGCAATTGGGAATTGCTGATAGTATGAATACGTGAAAGAATGCGGGTCTTGATATAGCTAATTACCCTCATTTCGTCCTGGTCACTGCTAACTAAAAATGAGTCAGCACCAAGATGCGCCAGAGCTTCATTCTTCTTGCTGGGAGATGTGCTTATTACAGTCACCTTGGACCCCAAAGCCTTGGCAAGTCTAACGCCAACATGACCAAGACCTCCGAGTCCAACAATGCCGACGTGCTTGCCAGGTTCCCCAAGACCAAAATATTTCAATGGACTCCAAACTGTGATTCCAGCGCAGAGCAATGGAGCAGCACCATCAAGAGCGATGTTATCAGGAACCCGAACAATAAAATTTTCATTGGCAACCATGAAATCGGAGTATCCTCCATATGTACGTGTTCCATCATGGTCAATGCCATTATAGGTGAGTATTAATTTAGGACAGTACACTGTACAGTCATTGACACAGTTATCACAGGAGCCACATCCACCAGCAATGCCTCCCATTCCCACCTTATCTCCGACCTTAAACTTCGTCACCTTGCTTCCTACCTCCGTCACTTCCCCAACAATTTCATGCCTGCAAAAGCAAGGTTTGTTTGTGCATATAGATTTTCTAACCAGAAAATAGTTTTGTAGTTAGGAGTCAGATTGGCTATTTTAATGCCAGTATGGGGCTGAAAAACCCATTTTACCACTAATGAATGAGGAGTAAAATGGTCGTCTTAGCCCTGGGCTCGCATTAAAATTAGTCAGTTTGGACTAATTTCCATTTCTACTTTCTGATAGTGAAAAGATCAATAGAGGGATCTTACCCTGGAACAATTGGATAGGCAGAGGCAGAGAAGCCAAAATCGTTCTTGATAAAATGAAGGTCTGAATGACATATCCCACAATATAACACCTTAAACTTCACATCCTCTTCACCAGTTTCTCTGCACACAAACAAACATACCAATTAGAACGCAAACACTATCCCATGATTAACTCCATATTTACATGACATGAGCAAGAAGAGTAACAGAAGAAGAGAAGCCACCTTCTGGAGAAGTTAAAAGGTGAGAGATGACCAGATGGGTCTCTGGCAGCCCAGCCAAATGCCTTAACAGGATGCTCCTCTTCTGCTAACTTGGCCATTTTCTAGAGAAGTTTCTGCAACAAATGAGATCAAGTGCTTATTAATTACTTGTGTGTGCCTTGTACCGAGAGCTCAGCACAGAATATATATAAGGGATGGTTTCTACTATGGCTGACATACAAGGTGACGCAATGGAGGGAGTTTGGATATGATTTTCAAGCACGATGACCATTTTCACCCTTTTACTATACTATTACAATTTGCTCGCGTGCGCACTGTGGAATTAGTTGGTGGATTGGGGAGAAAGTAATCGTTTTGATTCTTCTTTTTGGGAAAAAAAAAAAATTAAGGGAGAGAGTTGCATATGTGGCATAGTGGCGGGTACATGAAAGGTGATGGAGAAAGTTTATTGTATTCCCCAGACACAGTAAATATGGTATCTTAAGTCAATCTAAAATCACTACATCTATTTTCTTCTCTATCAAGTAATTAATAAAGAGTGAAAAAAAAATTAATATGATATTTTTTCTTTAATTTAAACTACCACGTCTGCTGTATTCTGGGATACAGCAGACTTGACTCTGGTTTCTCATCGTGAATGACGTGCCAGGTGAGCTAATGGTGTGGTCGACTTTTTTGACCGAAATGGTGTGTGGTGATGGTTTTGGCCTTAAAACAAATATATTTGTACAGTTATTGCCTGTTTAGTTTACTTAAACTTTGAAAAGTATTTTTGGAAAGCTTGGATTAAAATGTGTATTAATTTAATGCTAAAATTTAATTTAAAATGTAAAAGTTATTAAAAATAATAGATAATTGATTATATATAGACATAATCTATTATATAGTTCAAAAATACTTTTCAATTGTTTATTGAAAAAAAAAACAGAAATACTTTTTGATTTCTTAATGTAATCAATTATATTTAAAAAATCTCATTAAAACATTTTCATGTAACTAATTCCATCACCACTTTAATTTTGGTGCCAAAATTTTATTTTCTTAAGTTAAGTGACTCTTTAAATACTCACTACTTTTTCATAAATTTATATATTTTAAGTTAAAAGCTAATAAATAGATCTTTATAGTGTTTAATTAATTTGTGCATTTTGAAACTAATACTTTGTTATGTGATCTTAAGGTTACATTTTTAACGTTGCTTTAATATATTTAAATTTAAACTTTTTAACTTATAGGACCATAATTGTTTTCTAATAAATCAAACTTGAGTGGCCAAAAAATAA